GCATTATCATTTATTGGAATTTTACATAAGCAAAAAAGTGTGTCTGAAGTATATGCAAGATACAGAGAATCAGGTCCAGAGCCTGAAGGCAGAAAACTTAAATGTGTCCCAGTGGTTCTGAGTAAAATGCAAAAAAAGGGGAAAGGATTGTAGTGGCTGAGAAATAGCAGCTCTTTGCACTGGCACAGAGATATTCAGTATGTGGGAAGCCTCCTGAGAGAGCACCACATTAAACGATTCAGAGTTAAAATTTCAGAAGCTTAATGTATAGAATTCATGTGTTTCTGCTGCTCAGCTTTGTGGTGAGGGAGGGAAGGAGGAGGGAAGAAATCCTGTCCATAAAATGTTGCTCTGTCGGTCAGGATTTTTGATAAAGACATTCATGTCAAAAAGTTACCTAAACTGCGTGTAGCCAAGGGCAAATACAAATAAATTACTGACAGAGCAATTAATCTTTTCCAAGAATGATGCCAGCAGAGCTGCTTAGGGGGCACAATTGCACTAGGAAGAGCTTTTCAAACAAATGGAACCGTTCTTGTAATATGAGTGGAAGCTGACTGCAAGATAATTTCAGAGCTCTGCTTGTGGTCTAGAGTAACGCAGAATGTTTATCTAAAGTGGGTTTTTTCCTGCATTTCTCTCCAAGCTTTTCAAAAAAGTCAAACTAACTGCTAGGCAGCGTGCACAAGAATATAGTCAAGGAGATAAGCAAGGAGACTTCCTTATTATTAGCAAACTTCAATAATCGGCTAAATATACCTTAGCTATGTCACAGGCTGATTGCAAGGCTCATCAGAGGACAGCAGCAGTTTGTGCCTGTAAATGTTTGCATTTGTGAAATGTTAGCATGATCTAAAGAACTCAAAAAGAGAAAAAAAAACCCTTGCAGTTTATCATTGTACAAGCTTAGTCTGATTAATTTATTCCCATCCCCCCTTAGGACTCATGCTTCAGTGCTGAAATGATCTTCCGTAATCATGCCCGTATAGGAAGGGAATATTGAATAAGATTAGCAACATAAATCTCTGCTGCTTCCAAAGTTTTACCCAGCTGCCTGGTGATTTCAGAGCTGTTTCTGCAGTTGATAACCATTTCCATCACTCTGCTTTCTGCGGAGCTGTCACACTGCTCTGCTGCAGATTCTGCCGTCTCCCTGTTTGAGTTATGAATCTTGTTTTTAAAAATCCGATAACAGAAATGAAGAGTAGTAAATACAACAGACTTATGTTTATTGCAGTGGCTTCTTGGACTCAGTTTGCCTTTTTCTTTTTTGAGAGGAGTTTTCAGGGTTATATTCCATAGGTTTTTGTTCTAGCAGAATATATTTAAGAGGGTTTTTTTTTAGTGGGAAGCATGTTGTCACTGTCAGTTTACAGCCAGGAAAACCAAGGCACTGGGAGATAAAGTGATTTACTCAAAGAGACTAGAGACATACAAGAGAGAAAACCGCAAGTATTCTGAGTTGTGATTCACATAGGTGAAATGAATGATAGGAATTAATTTAAATGAGGTTTTTAACTACAGAAATTCATGTGCATTACCCTTTCCTGTGTAGCTCTTTCTGGGGGACTTGCCCAGGCTGTAACACTCATCATCGAGACGTCACATCATCAAAGGAAAATGTTACATAGGGCCAGAAATGGGTGGCTGCTGCCAAGAAAAGAGGCAGAAACCACTAGGAGAGCCAGAGGGAGAACATCTCCTGCTTCAGTTCAGTTAGGAGCAGGGGTCGGCATACAGCGGGAGCTTTTCCATGCAGGAGCTTTGTTCTTAAGAAGCTGATAAATATCCAACAACTTTTCTTGTAGGAAACATCCACGCTATAATATTGTCACCTCCGATTCATCATTCAGCAACATCTGACACTTCAAAGCCTGGAGCGGCTCTTACTGCTGCATGACTCTGCCTTGAATTGACATACGAGACATCTTACGCAGTCTTCCTCCACTTCCTGAGCCAAGGGATTTGTTACGATGGATTTCTCATGGACCTGGTAGGTGTGCATGCTGATGGATTTCATGTCTTTTCAGTAAATCTCAACTCACACTTACCAGTGGGTAAAACCTTCCTCTCCCCTTTATCCAGTGCTAGCCACAGAGTGCCACAGAAACACATTCTTCCTCCAAATCAAAGTAGCTCCTTAAGAAAGCACTTCTGGGGTGATTAGGGAGAGGATGCTGGTGTTGCCGGGTATCTTTGCCTCAATTTCTTACCCTGAAACTTGAACCAAGTCACCTGTTGGCGTAAGTCAGGAGTGACTTTGCTGGCAATGAGGATCTAGTGCCCTGTTTTCTAGGGCTGAATACCTTTGCTCACACTTCAAATAGGTTCTGTTGTTTATTTAACTTACAGTATTTCAGTAGAGGTTTGTTTATTTGCTTTATATGAATGCCTGTCTTTTACATCCTATTACAGGCAAGAACTGTGCTCCTCAGAAGTGAACAAGTATTTTGCCATTGACTTAACTTTGGCAGTTTGGGAGATTATTTTTTTTTAAAGTCATGTTACTTTTGGTTGTATAAATGTATCTTCTGTCTTCATGAATCTCCGTACAAGACATCTAAGAGACTTATCTGAAGCAGAGGGACAAGGACTCTAAAGACAGGAGTAAATACAGTTTGACTGAATGTTGAAGTTTTTCAGAATAATTGTGTTTATTATGAGCCCAATCCAAAGCCTTTTCAAGTTTTTGGGAAGTTTCCCAATTTCTGTGACTGTTAGAGAGAGTATCTGGACTTTTGAATAGTTATTAGAATGTATTTGGAACTAAGAGATCTTTTATATGGAAAATGGTTAATTTTTTTCCTCCCTCAAATTTAATAATAAAATGTTGAACAAATTGAATACCGCTTGAGGTGAGATCAAAAAAAGGGGACATTTGGGGAGTGCATTCTCCCATTGTGCTGAACCTCTGTAATGCTTTATGGGTAAGTAATGTAGCAACATAATGGCACTAGTGTGACCCTCACTGCCATGCAAGTCATTATTGCAAATGCAGAACTTGGGCTCAGATCTATGTGGGGACAGATCCATGGTGCTCTAGAAAAGCCCCATGTCTTCCCTGGGCTTTCAGCTGATATAAAAGGCGCTTAATCGTGTGTTATGATTTGAAGGACAAAGCAAGAGAACCCAGGATAACCTAGGATGTAAAATGTCAGCACAGATACATTTCCTTTCTCTGATAAGCACTGATCAGATCCCCTTCCTGCCCTTGGAGATACCAAGTACCTTCATGGAAACACACAGAATCACGCAATGGTTGTGGGTGGAAGGGGCCTCTGGAAATCATCTGGTCCACGCCCCGTCCTGCTCAGGCAGGGTCACCTAAAGAAGTCTGCCCAGGACTGTCCAGATGGCTTTTGAGTATCTCCAAGGATGGAGGCTCCAAAACCTCCCCGAGCAGCCTGCTCCAGCCTGCAGTCACCCTTGCAGTGGGAAAGTGTTCCTGGTGTTCAGAGCCTCCGGTTGCAGGGTTGAACCCTGAAGACAGCTGTGTGCAGCAAGGCACGGTACTGAGCTGAGCACTCTGCCTTAGAGCAGCAGAACAAAAGCTTTGTCAAACCAGATCTGAGCTTTCCTTCTCTCATTAGGGTTCAGGGAAACTCAGATCCAACCCCTCTGACTAGACACAGAGGACAGCCTGTTTGTGTCTGTGTTTAAAAACGGTGAAATCCTTTTTGTCGGCAAACACAGTCAGTTGTATGAGGTACTGAGATACAAACCCAAGGGCGCTCCACAATGGACGAATATATCTTAGCAACAAGGCTGGGAGTGGTGGGAAAGGAAAAGGAGAATACAAGTATCTGGCAATTAACTTCCTAGCCACAGATGTGAAGGTGATAAAAGTGATAAAAGCATTACT